AGATTTTCCGAGTTCTTTGAATACCACCTAATAGCAGTAGATCCTTTTCTCAAAGGATAGCCATTGATCAGAGCATTTTAGCATTTTTGAATGAAAAGGAACGAAGAGCTAACAGATTTGCAGAAATATAAGAGAGTGCTTACCCTATGAGGACTAGAACAGACCGGTGCGTAAATGTATCATTCCACACAACAAAGCCGTTGGAAAGAAATATTCAAAAGCGTTCCGGCAGCGCTGCAGGAGATTTCGGGATTTACATCAGAATAAGAATGTCTGTTACGCTCCCTCTTGTGCTTCTATCGGTTTCGGGGTCACTAAGTACTTTTTGTCGACATCTACAATTGCCTCTTTATATATATACGTCGCTGCCCTTTATTTTTGAATTAAAGGTCTATCATTATAAGTAGTCTAATGCAAAATTTAAAAACTTCGTAAATTGCTATAGTTCTTTTCAAAATACGAATAAAAATTGAGGAAAATTTATGGCATTTACCTTCTTCATCGTGAATGACTTGCTTACTTATACAATAAGATTTCAAAAATAAAACATTACATTATCTTAGGAGCGTAGTATGCCTTCAAACTAAAAAAATTCTGAAAACAAATGAAGGCGCAGTTCTTCGCCATGTTGAGCTATACAATTTTCACAATCTTTGCATGTTATTCTTTTCCCGATCTTCTCTCTTAGGTGATCGTTTTTGCGTAAGCTTTCTCCAGCAAAAACGATAAAGGGAGCAAACTGGAGATATATTGCAGGCCTAGCAGTGCAAAAGAGCATTTGTTTGTCAATATTAAGAATATAGGTTTCTAGTGCAAGTTGATGGCCTAATTCATAACAGAGTTTAGCTTTACACCGCTCTTCAAATCATTTCAATCGCTTTTCAAGGAAGCCCCAATGAAATATGTAGAAGTCAAGATAAAAGAAAAGATAGAGAAGAAAGGCAGTTGGCAAAATCAATCATCCTCACTGAAATTCCTTCCGTACAAATTAATTGTCTCGCTTGGCAGCAAAATCACGAGAGATAAATTTTCGGATCGATAAAGCTTCTGCAGATAACACTGCTGTTTTTTAAAAGCATGCTTTTGTTTAATGTCACTGTTTGGATGAGATGACATACATATTCCTATGATTCAGTGACATTTGCACTGAATGTGGCTTCCGAAGACCTTTTGAAGAAACCAACAGCCTACCCCCATCAAAACATAAATATATGGAAAAATACAGGTGATCAACAGGGAACCTATCTGCATTACAGGTAAAGACGAAAAAAAAAAGAATGAGGACGATTGAAGGTGGAAAGATAGAGGAAATTCGTACGAGATGCCTATAAGTGTCAAAGCAGATTGGAAGAGGGCGAAATGAGGTCCTGTTTACTATGTGGAAAACGTGCGATTCGTTTCGAATATTGCAAACATGTTGCGTTTTGCCATGCGTACTTTAACAAGAAATAAAAGAATCCGAAGAGATGTTTATAAGAAAAAAATGCAACCCGCAAAAAGAAAACTCAATCTTCTCTCAACATTATCTGGGTGTAATCTTCTTTTGGTGGTTTTTTATCCTTAGTTTGTCCGGAATGGAACGGTTCTTTTTGCCACACCAATAGAAATTTCAATAATGGAATTTTTATTACCTTGGAAATGTACAATCTTAAAAGAAAGCGTAAGGATGTGAGCTCTGTTATTCAGTGTAAGTATAACGATGTGAGAACTAGTTAGCGTCTTCTATTTCTATTTCACTGAGCATACAATTCACGCTTGGTGTATAATAGTTGTCCATTCATAGAGCGTGTTTGTTTTCGTAAGCATCCCTCAATTACGCAGATCTACGACTTTCAGCAAAGAAATCGCTAAAGGAATATGAGTTATCTTACTTGCCCTTCTTTTGCATCTTTTTTTGTTCCCCGTCGAAAAAGACTAACAATGGAAAAGACTACACAAGGTGAGATGAACTGCGGATC